AGTGAGGACAGCTCATGGGTCTGTCAATCCCAGCTACTCAGAACCGGCTGAGCATTGGGAAATTTGCTTGATGCCAGGAGGGTTCGACTGCAGTGGGCCTGTTGATTCGCGCTACTGCGGCGTGCCGCGCGCTCAGACAGAATGAGACCCTGCTTCAAAAAAAAAATTAAAAATAAAAGTTGTACTGTTCTTTAATTAAGAAGCTAGTACGCCCAGTTTCAGCACTCATTGACAAGAGATAGCATCAGAGACAGCATTTCCCACACGCGTTCTTTTGAGCAGTGGAAGCTCTCTTCCTCTTGGTAGAATAATTCTCTAGTGGGCCATGTGTCATTAACTTTATGGGGAATATGCCAGTTCTAAGCAAAGGGGTGATTGTGACACCCAGGTGTGTCACCATTATGAGTACTTTGTGATGATTTCAGAGCTTGAACAACCAGACAAGCTCTATTTGTTTACTTCAACCTTTGAATAGAAGACCAATCACACTAACCTCAGCCACTACCATTCACCCTGTGGTACTTCTTCCTGAACACTTCAGCACAATAACGTATGCGCTTTCCATTCCTGTCTCAAAGAAAATAAACAAAAATAGCCGGGCGCGGTGGCCCACGCCTGTAATCCCAGCACTTTGGGAGGCTGAGGCGGGCAGATCACGAGGTCAGGAGATCGAGACCATCCTGGCTAACACGGTGAAACCCCGTCTCCACTAAAAATACAAAAAATTAGCCGGGCGTGGTGGCAGGTGTCTGTAGTCCCAGCTACTCGGGAGGCTGAGGCAGGAGAGTGTCTTGAACCCGGGAGACGGAGCTTGCAGTGAGCCGAGATTACGCCACTGCACTCCAGCCTGGGCGACAGAGCAAGACTCCATCTAAAAAAAAGAAAAATAAAATAAAATAAAAAAAATAGACCGGGCGCGGTGGCTGACGCCTGTAATCCCAGTACTTTGGGAGGCCGAGGCAGGCAGATCACAAGGTCAGGAGATCGAGACCATCCTGGCTAACACGGTGAAACCCCGTCTCTACCAAAAATACAAAAACTTAGCCGGGCGTGGTGGCGGGTGCCTATAGTTCCAGCTACTCAGGAGGCTGAGGCAGGAGAATGGCGTGAACCCGGGAGGCGGAGCTTGCAGTGAACCGAGATTGCGCCACTACACTTCAGCCTGGGTGACAGAGCAAGATGCTGTCTCAAAAATAAAATAAGATAAAATAAGATAAAATAAAATAAAATAAAATAAATCTGACTTCCCATTGCCAAAAGCTATAGTCCAAGCTCAAGAGCAGTCTAACCATCTGCTCCCAGCCACGACACCTCACACTTCCCTGCAGTCCCTGCGCTCCCACACAACTGCCACTGGGCCTGGCCTCACAGGTGCCTTTACTCCCAGCCATTCCCTCCTGTCCCACTGGCTCTCGATTCCTGCCCTTCTTCGCAGTCTCAGTGTAGCTCCTTCCTGTCCTTCAAGCCCCGCTTTCCTGTGGAGCATCGTTGTTCTCTGCAGTTGAAAGAGCTCTTCTCTTCTGAACTCTGAGCATTTGTCTGTGGCTCTAATTTCTTATACATCTCTAGTCTACCTATCTGTATTCAGAAAAGACACTCAAAATATGTACTGAATTGATCAGGAATTATTTTCCCATGTGTCTTCAGAGCTTTAGTTTAACCTAAGGTTCCTGTTGGATCCTTTCTGGGATCGTAGAATTTGAGATCATAGACCCTGGCCATCTGGTTCAAACCCCTCCGGCTCTCACGTGGAACAGTGAGGTCTGCAGCTGAACGTCTTCTCTGATGTCACGCAGCCTGCCGGCCTCGAGAGCTAGAACCCACGCCCTCCTGACCTGCGGCTTCTGGTTCTCTTCTGAGTGATACAACACAGTTTCAAGATTCCCAGGAAAGGTTACTTTCATTTTTATGACCATAAAAAGTAGCCTGAAAATGCTAACATCATTTGATCGTTTACAGGTGAAATCTTTGTGTGCCTCCCTGTTGGACTCAAATGTTCTTGTGCAAAGAAATAATCTGGAAATCGTTCTGTTTTTCTTCCCATTTTATACCTGTCTGGTAAGTCATTTGTACTCTTCTGGTAAGTCACTGGTGTTTCCCAAGGGGTGGAATATAGATTTCAAGCAGTTTTATCCTAAAAGGACAGCTCAGCCACTCATGGGCGTTATTTGCTGGTAGCCAGTGAAAAGTCCTTGTTCATTTTTGCAGGGATAGCGTTTTCATTGCACGTATTGAATAGCTTCTTTCCATAGGTAATGTGTAAGGAACCAGCCCTTTTTGCGATTGAGCTTGGTAGACCAGCAAGGAAGGCTGCATGTCAAAAAGTCACCAATCTCCCCTATCGTTCCCTTGTAGTAAATTTCTCTGTCCTTCTAATAGGATTCCAATGAGAGAGCCATTCCCCTCCTCAGATCTGACATCGTGCGCATTCTCTCAGCTGCCACCCAGACACTACTGAGAAGGGACATGTCCCTGAACAGAAGACTGTATGCATGGTTACTAGGTACTGAGCAGTATGCACCCTTTTAAAGTCAAAGTTAATGTGAAACCTTTTAGTGCTGACTTCTGGGATAAGATTTGGTCTTGGTGATGTATCCCTGAATCATGAAGTATGGAAAGATACCACAATGACTAAATACGGCACTGATCAGTTGAGGTCTGCTGCCTACACATAGCTTGGTTATTTTGCAGTGGTTTTTTTTTTTTTTTTTTAAAAGGGGAAATAATAAGTGGGATTTTAAAAATGCCAACCGAATTCCATTTTAAGAGCTTGAAATACCACCAAAACATGGTAGCAAAACCTTATTCAAGTAGAAGCCTGTTGCTATGAAGAAGTTTCATGGGATGAGGGTGTATCATGGAGAAAACTTACAAATATTGTGGAAGATATGTAAATAAAGGAGGAGGTTTCATGTAAGTGGAAATGTTTTGGGAGACATTTGGATAACTTTGGAGATCACGAGAGCCCCAGGGCCATGTTTCTGTGTGTCAGAGTGTGTGGACTGCCTCTAAATTTGTTGGCAAAGGGCCCTTGACTGTTGGTTGGAAGGCCTCCCAGGGACAGAGTCTAGGAAATTGCAACTTAAAAGATAACACATTCATGAATTTTCTAAAGTCCCATATTCACGCACCTAAGAAAAGGTGGTATGCAGAATGATTGTGACAGGACTTTACAGCTCTGATTAACTCTCAATATTTAGATCTTTTTTTTCCTTTTTGAGATGGAGTTTCACCTCATCGCCCAGGCTGGAGTGCAGTGGTGCAATCTGGGCTAATTGCAACCTCCGCCTCCCAGGTTCAAGTGATTCCCATGCCTCAGCCTCCCCAGTAGCTGGGATTTCAGGCACCCACCACCCCGGCCGAGTAGTTTTTGTATTTTTAGTAGAGATGGAATTTCACCCTGTTGGCCAGGCTGGTCTTGGACTCCTGACCTCAGGCGATCTGCCCACCTCTACCTCCCAAAGTGCTGGGATTACACACCACTGCACTCAGCCTAGCATTGAGATCTTATCAAAGATCTGTACCAAAGATCTTACCAAAGTCAAGAAGTCCTCTTCAGTCCTTCTTCCTTCTCTTCTCCCTAGTTATAAAACCTTTAAAAGTCATTGCATGGAAGCTTACTAAGGATTTTAAGAAGACTATTTATCAGCTCTTTAAGGGCTTGTATGTAAAGGATGATTTTGTTAAATGCACAGCTCTGCTCTGACGGGACTTGATATGCTATGTGGAGGGCACTGGACCTGACCACAGCGCCAACTCTGACTCACTTAGTTGCAGCCCCAGGAGCCCCATATTCTTTGCCCGTACCATGAGGATGCGCCTCCTCGCCCTGAGAATCTCGCAGGCTTATCCAAGGCTCCAGCTATTGGGGGCATGTGCATGAGAATACCTTGATCTCACATAATGCTGGACAAAAAAACACTGGTTTTAAAAAATGATCCTCAGGCAGGCCTGGTGGCTCATGCCTGTAAAATCCCAGCACTTTGGGAGGCCGAGGCAGGTGGATCACTTGCCGTCAGGAGTTCAAGACCAGCATGGCCAACATGGTGAAACCCCATCTCTACTAAAAAATACAAGTGATTCTCCTGCCTCAGCCTCCCAAGTAGCTGGGATTACCGGTGTGCGCGACTACACCCGACTAATTTTTTTTGTATTTTTAGTAGAGATGGGGTTTCATCATGTTGGCCAGGCTGGTTTCGAACTCCTGACCTCAGGTGATCCGCCCACCTTGGCCTCCCAAAGTACTGGGATTACAGGCATGAGCCACGCGCCTGGCTAACAGGATGAATTCTTAGAACAAACTAAACTGATACCCATTGAGATGGAATTCTGCCTGTCTGATCATTAGCCACACCCCTGTCAGAAGAAGAAAATCTGACTTGGTCTTTCTAGATCTGATTCTGGTTTTCCGTCAGAGGAATATATTTTTAAAAATATTGGAGCATGAGACTTTTGCACGATATGATGTCCTTTAGAAACATAGCTCTCTTTACAGCTCGGTGCTTGTTCTTTTATAGGCTCAGACATTAAAGGAAGTACCGTTGTGCCAGAATCTGAAATCTCAAATTCTTATGAAGATCAGTCGTCTTATTTTTTTGAAAAATACTCCAAGGATCTTTTAGTTGAGGTAAAGGAGCATTTCTGGAAAGTTCAGGGCATCCCTGGTGACGATTCTCCAGTGGATTTCTTTGGGAGGCTTCCACGCAGGCAGTGAGCATGTTCCTTGGCCCCTGGTTTGGGGAACTGCAGTGTATTTGTTGCATGCTGGGTGACTGGTTTGCCTTCTGTCCCAGAGTATTTAACAATTAAAATAGCCAGTAATGTTGTTACACTTCATGATATACGATATTCTAATATGTGGCTTTTTTAAAATAAATAGAGTCTGGCTGAAATATTGCATCAGAAGTTCATAGATGCCGACGTGGAGGAACGCCATCATGCATACCTGAAGCCTTTTCGCGTCCTCATCAGTCTGCTTGACAAGCCAGAGATAGGTAATGTTAGAAATGCTGCTACAATCCTATGCCGAATACAGATTGCCTGTTTTCAGGGAACTACAACACGGTGAGATACAACCGAAGTATTATTTTGAATATACTTTAATCTTTGGAATTTCAGAAATTTGAAGTCATGTTATATGGTTCAATGATCAGATCTGTGGTCACTTAAAAGTTTTGCATGGCTGGGCGCAGTGGCTCATGCCTGTAATCCTAGCACTTTGAGAGGTGGAGGAAGGAAGATCAATTGAGCTCATGGATTTGAGACCAGCCTGGGTAACATGGCTAAAAAGCCACGTTGAAAAACCCCATCTCTACAAAAAAATACAAAAAAAATTAGCCAGGCATGGTGGTGCTTCCCTGTAGTCCCAGCTACCAAGTGGCGGAGGTGGGAAGACCACCTGAGCCCAGGGTGTCGAGGTTGCAGTGGGCTGTGATTGCACCACGGCCCTCCAGCCTGGGTGACAGAGTGAGACGCTGTCTGAAAAAAAAGTTTTGCACAATAATCTGAACATTTTTGTTAGGAAAATACCTTTGAGCTCCTATAGTGTCTACAGAACACCTGTAGTATTTCCTTTTTAAGACTGTTTCTGCAATGTCATACTTAAAATGAGCTTCGGTTTGATTTTGAATTAAGTAGGGGACCTCCTCTATCTTTTTGCCTTGGGATCCTGGGCAAGCCACTTCTTTTCGCTGTGTAGAGTAAAAACATTTTCACTGTAAAATGAAGGGCGGTGAACTAGACTCTGGTCACCGAAGGCTCCCTTCTTAGAGACTATGATCGTATTAGCATAGGTTGAGAAAAGTGACCTTCTCTCACTATTTATTTATTTATTTATGAATGAATGAATGAATGGCAGAGTCTTGCTCTGTTGCGCAGGCTAGAGCACACTGGTACAATCTTGGCTCACTGAAACCTCTGTCTCCTGGGTTCAAGCAATTCTCCTGCCTCACCTTCCCCAGTAGCTGGGTTTACAGGCATGCGCCACCACGCCTGGCTAATTTTTGTATTTTCAGTAGAGATGGGGTTTCATCATCTTGGCCAAGCTGGTCTCAAACTCCTGACCTCAAGTGATCTGCCTGCCTCGGCCTCCCAAAGTGCTGGGATTACAGGTGTGAGCCACCGCCCCGGCCCTCTCCCTCACTTTAAAAAGAAATCTGTGGCTGGGCCCGGTGGCTTATGCCTGTAGTCCCAGCACTTTGGGAGGCTGAGGTGGGCAGATCACCTGAGGTCAGGAGTTCGAGACCAACATGGCAAAACTCCACCTCTACTAAAAATATAAAAATTATCTGGGCGTGGTGGCACACACCTGTAATCCCAGCTACTTGGGTGGCTAAGGCGGGAGAATTGCTTGAACCCGGGAGGTGGAGGTTGCAGTGAACTGAAATCATGCCACTGCACTCCAGCCTGGGCAACAGAGCAAGACTCTGTCTCCAAAAAAAAAAAATAATAAATTCTATCTTAAAAAAAATACACAGGAAACTTAGCATGAAAATAGTTCTCTCAGAGACACATCTTTTGGTTTTGTGAAAAGAAAGTGTAAAAGATTGGATTAATTTGCTTTTTTGCCAGTGTTGACAGAGCTTTCGTTTTCTCTGAATTGATTGCGTGTTTCTTCCTCTGGATACGTGGGTAAGAAGTCAGGCCCTCAGCTGCCTGAGGGTTGCGGTTTGCAGAGCAGAAATGCCCTGTCCATCCCCTGCCTGGTTGCAGTGAAGCTTCTCTAACGTGCAGCTGGTCCAGTTCTCTTGTGCCATCTTTCTCAGCATTTCAGGATGGGCATCATTTCTTTTGTGTTGCTCCAGCTCATGACTAAAGGAATTGAAGAAGTTGCCCTGCTCTCTGGATATTTCTGTTGAGTAATGTCCCTGGCCAGCAGTTTATGCACACTTAACACACGTTGTCTGCGCTCTGCCTTCATCTAGCAGAGTCTGCCTTGGGCAAGTTACTTAACCTCTCTGTGCTTCCATCTTCTTACGTGTAATCAGCAGTACAGGATCTGTCCAGATGGCTGTTACGAGGGTTTAATACGTTAATAGATGTAAAATGCGTAGAAGGGTGTCTGGCACATAGGAAGTTCTACAAAAATGTTGGCTATTTTCATGAATGTTGTTTCCCCAGCTAAAGTTGTCACCACTAAAGTTAAGTTTCTGTATATTTTAGACTATATAAACTGTCTGTATGCACAGGTTTACTGTATATATGTCTTATGTATATGTCACCTACTGATTTAAAAGGGATTGTTAATCTGTCTCTGACCATCTTCCTTCTAATTGCAGGGCCTCAGGTGGTTGGGAATTTGTTTCTGGAAGTCATCAGGGCCTTTTATTCTTACTGCAGAGATGCCCTTGGTTCTGATCTTAAACTTAGCTACACCCAGAGTGGAAATTCGCTGATAAGGTATGAGTTTGGCCTTTAACATCACACATCTCTTTCCCTCCCCGGTACTATGATTTTTTTTTTCCTCTCTTGCTTACTATAAATTGTGAAGTAGTAGAGAAAGTGGAGATGCAGCAGGTGAGACCCTTGGTTAAAATAATCAATGCCTTGAAGTCAGTCAATGGGAATTGACTGTTCCCTGCTGAGTACTGTGAAGAGTTTAAACGGAGTTTGATGTAGTCTTTCCCCCAGCCTGGAATGACAGGTATTTATTGATTTTTTGATAAGTATGAAGTGTATTTTTGATCAAGTATGAAACAATGAAATGTATGTATTGATCAAGTATGAAACTCATTTAACAAAAGCAACTTGATCTAGTATACCCAAGTGGTGAGTTACAGGATGGAGAGAAGAGGGAAAATGGAGGGGAGTGTGCCTGGCAAGTGGAAAGGGGATGTGAGTCTTCAGGACAGGAGTCTGGGGTGTGTTGGGGGAGATTGGGGGAGACCCAGGCAGGGCACCGGAGGGCACAGGCTCCACTGTCCCGGAGGCAGAGTGAGTGGTGTTTGGAAGAGAGCAGGCACATCGGCCTCAGGTGCACAGTTACACACAAACCCTGTTTTGTTTGTTTAGTTTGTTCCTTTTAAAAGGATACAACCTTTTCTTTTTTGCTTTACTCTTAATGTAATTTCCTTCTGCCTGAACTAGCATTGGGTACATTGAAAATTTAAATCAATTTTCCTGTTTTTCTGGTTTATTAGTTGTAAGTGTACCAAGAGTTCTTAGTGTTTGCTTTTTTCTCCCAGAATGAAAGCGGTTTATTGTTTTTCTGAATATGAAAGTCATACATGTTCGTTGTCGAATTTACTGATATTTGAAAGATCAAGAAAAAGATGTCACCCATAATCCTAGCACCCTTCAGAGAAAACCATAAAACATTTTTACCTCTTTCTAGACTTCTACTACATACGTAAATACATAGATGCCTGTCTTTTATTTTAAAGGTAGAATTACACCCAGTTACTTAGTTGCTTGGGGTTTTCCTTTTGTTTTCTTGTTGTTGATTTGTTTGTTTGGTTTTGAGACAGGGTCGCCCAGGCTGTAGTGCAGTGGCGTGAACATGGCTCACTGCAGCCTCAGTCTCCTGGGCTCAAGCAATCCTCATGCCTCAGCCCCTTAAGTAGCTGGGACTACAGACATGCACCAGCATGCCCAGCTAATATATATATATATGTGTGTGTGTGTGTGTATATATAAATATATGTGTATATATAAATATATATGCGTATATATAAAAATATATATGTGTATACATAAATATATAAAAATATATGTATAAATGTATGCATATATAAATATATAAGTATATATGTATATATAAATATATGTGTGTATATATAAGTATATTAAAAAGTGTATGTATAAATATATGTGTATATATAAATATATATGCGTATATATAAAAATATATATGTGTATATATAAAAATATGTGTGTGTGTGTGCGCGCACACGTATGTATATATATATTTTGCAGTTCTCCATCTTGGCTCACTGCAACCTCCACCTCCTGGGCTCAAGCAATTCTCCTGACTCAGCCTCCCAAGTAGCTGGGATTACAGATGCCCACTACCATACCTGGCTAATTTTAATGTTTTTAGTAGAGACAGAGTTTTGCCATGTTTGCCAGGCTGATATATATATATATATATATATGTATATATTTGTTTGTTTGTAGAGACGGGGTTTCACCATGTTGCCCAGGCTGCTCTCAAACTCCTGAGCTCAAGCAATCCGCCCACCTCAGCTTTTCAAAGTGCTGGGATTATAGGTGTGAGCCCCCGTGCCTGGCACTCTCTGGAGTGTCCCTCTCCAGCATGACAAGGTCTCACTCTGTCTCCCAGGCTGGAGCACAGTGGCACCATCAAAGGTCACTGAAGCCTTGAACTCCTGGGCTCAAGTGATCCTCACAACTCAGCTTCCCAAATAGCCAAGATGATAGGCACACACGACCACACCTGGCTAATTTTTAATTTTTCTGTAGAGACGAGGTCTTGCTATGTTGCACGGGCTGGTCTTGAATTCCCTGGTCTCAAGCAGTCCTCCTGCCTCAGCCTCCCTAACTGCTGGGATTACAGGTGTGAGCCACCGTGCCTGGCCACTGCTTGTTTTTTTGAAATGCAAGTTGTAAGTAGCTCTACACTGTTCTCCTATGGGATTAGTTGCCTTGGATTTTTTTGTTAAGCATTTATCATTTATTTAAGGCCAAGTGCAGTGGCTCACACCTGTAATTTCAGCACTTTGGGAGGCCAAGGCAGGCAAATCACTTGAGGTCAGGAATTCAAGACCAGCCTGGCCAACATGACAAAACCTGGTCTCTACAAAAAAAAAAAAAAAAATACAAAGATTAGCCAGGCATGGTGGCATGTGCCTGTAGGCCCAGCTATTTGGGAGACTGAGGCACGAGAATCCCTTGAACCCGGGAGGTGGAGGCTGCAGTGACCCGAGGTCGCACCACTGCACTCCAGCCTCGGCGACAGAGCAACACTTCGTCTCAAAAAAGAAATAAAAATAATAAATCCTGACTGACCAATTTTTTATTGATTGACTTTTAGACAGTTTCTGCTTTTTCAGTTTTGTTTGCTTGTTTGCTTTTGAGATGGAGTCTTGCTCTGTTGCCCAGGCTGGAGTGCAGTGATGCGGTCTTGGCTCACTGCAACCTCCACCTCCTGGGTTCAAGTGATTCTCCTGCCTCAGCCTCCTGAGTAACTGGGATTAGAGGCACCTGCCACCACGCCCAGCTAATTTTTTGTATTTTTAGTAGAGATGGGGTTTCACCATGTTGGCCACGCTGGTCTCAAACTCCTGACCTCGTGATCTGCCTGCCTCAGCCTCCCAAAGTGCTGGGATTACAGGCGTCAGCCACCGCGTGTGGCCTGTTTGTTTTTTAGACGGAGTCTTACTCTGTCACCCAGGCTGGAGTGCAATGGCGCCATCTTGGCTCACTGCAACCTCCACCTCCTGGGCTCAAGCAATTCTCTTGCCTCAGCCTCCTGAGTAGCTGCGATTACAGATGCCCACTACCGTATCTGGCTAATTTTTATGTTTTTAGTAGAGACAGAGTTTTGCCATGTTTGCCAGGCTGATCTCAAACTCTTGATCTCAAATGATCCGCCTGCCTCGGCCTCTCAAAGTGCTGGGATTACAGGTGTGAACTACCGCACCCGGCCTTTTTCAGTATTTTTTAATGGCCTTTTAGTGGTGCAGTTCTGCACACATCTATGTACCTATGCAGGGATTTTGGTAGGATAAATTTCTTGAATAAATTTCCTGAGCCATAGAAGATAAACATTTAAGGCTGGGCTCTGTGGCTCATGCCTGTAATCCAGCACTTTGGGAGGCTGAGGCGGGTGGATCACTTGAGGTCAGGAGTTTGAGACCAGTCTGGCCAACATGGTGAAACCCCGTCTCTACTAAAAATACAAAACTTAGCTGAAGTGGTGCACGTGTGTAATCCATCCCAGCCACCCCGGAGGCTGAGGCAAGAGAATCGCTTGAACCTGGGAGGCGGAGATGGCAGTAAGCCGAGATCGTTCCACTGCACTCCAGCCTAGGAAACAGTGAGACTCTGTCTCAAAAAAAAAAAAAAAAAAAAAAAAGAAGATAAACATTTAAAATCTTGGCTAAATTTCCCTGCTGAATATCCGTGTACCATGTTATTCCACCAATAGAGTATGGACTAAAACTGATTTTCTGTACAAATTCTTTTTACAGTAGCTCTGAAATTATTGTTATTATTATTATTATTATTTTGAGACAGAGTCTCACTCTGTCACCCAGGCTGGAGTGCAGTGGCGCAATCTCAGCTCACTGCAACCTCCGCCTCCCAGGTTCAAGCGATTTTCCCACCTCAGCCTCCCGAGTACCTGGGATTACAGGTATCTGCCATCATGCCCTGCTAATTTTTGTATTTTTGTAGAAACAGTGTTTCACCATGTTGACCAAGCTGATCCACCCACCTCAGCCTCCCAAAGTGCTGTGATTACAGGTGTAAGCCACCGCACCCGGCCCTGAAATTTGTTTTTAAGAGACTGTATCAATATAAATATTGTTTAGGATGGCATTATGCAAACACATTATAAGAACAGTAGTATTTTCATTTTTATCAGGATGTGTCAGCTCTAGAAATAAGTTGCAGATGGTGAAATCGATTACAGTTTTTTGGACAGTTTTTATAATTCAGGATTTTTTAATAGATATATTTATTGATGTCCTCCCCTTTTACAGTGCAATCAAAGAAAACAGAAATGCCTCTGAGATTGTCAAAACGGTAAATTTGCTGATCACTTCTCTAAGCACAGACTTTCTCTGGGATTATATGACAAGGTGTTTTGAGGAATGCTTTAGGTAAGTATGCAGTTTGAGAATACAGAATATTTAGGAAGGATGAGAGGGTTTAACGATTTTGTAGCTGCTTAGAATGTCAGATTATATATAAGTAGCTGAAGCTGAGTAGTCTTTCCTGAGTTTTAAAATTCAACTAAAACAGGATTGGGAAGAATTCACTTAAGATTCTAGCAGAATAAAAACATCTCTAATAAGAAGGTTCACATAATCTTTGCCTTGTAATTCTGAAGCTGCTTTAAAAGTCTAACTTTAGAAAATCCTCCGTGCATTTTCTCGTTACATTCATCAAATCAGCTTTCCTCTCCTGGCTGCCTGATCTGTTGAAAGCAACTTAATTTTGTGGCTTTGTGACTGGATAGAGCGTTTTTGAAATCTTCAGTTTTCTTAAATTTTTACTGAAATCAATGGATGACTGGTCAGATAAAAGCATTTCTGTTTTAAGCTATTATAATCAGCTTTACCATCTCTTTTAACCGGGTGAATTGCACCACCTCTAAATTGTCTGCCTTGGCGTACCCCGGGAACACCGAGCTTTCCTGGAGAGGCCTTTCCCATGCCATTTTCTTTATGGGAGGAATAAGGTCATGTCGCAAACCCTGTTTTGTCCTATGAGGCATGCCTTAAAACTTATTTCTTGTTCATCTCCACTATAATGCTCTTGGCTGTCTTAGAGTCTTACTTCTCAGCGGCTACCAGTAGTATGCTTTTCTGTCCAAATAAGCTCACAACCCTGGGATGAATAAGTTAGTTGCAATTGGATCCACAGGCAACAGCAAGGCCATATTTTATTGAGGTTAGAGTATGCTTTGGTCAGCCTGGCTGTTATGTTATGTTATTTTTTATTTTATGACGGTGTCTCTCTGTCACCCAGACTGGAGTTCACTGGCACGATTCCAGCTCACTGCAACCTCTGCCTCCCAGTTTCAAGCGATCCTCCCATCTTAGCCTCCCAAATAGCTGGGACTACAGGCACAGCCTCCCAAGTAGCTGCGACTACCACCACACCTAGCTAATTTTTGTATTTTTAGTAGAGATGGGGTTTCACCATGTTGGCCAGGCTGGTCCCAAACTCCTGACCTCAAGTGATCCACCCGACGTGGCCTCCCAAAGTGCTGGGATTACAGGCATGAGCCACCAAATCCGGCTATCCTGGTTATTTTTTTAAAAAAAAAGAATAAAATGTTTCTACCCAGATAGAGCTGACTCTCCGCCTTTGCAACATTTTGTCCTCCTTTCATCCCAGAGTTAATCACTGTCCTGAGATTAATGTCTGTCTTCAGTATAACATGGCTTTGCTGTTGCCTGTGGATCCTATTACAGTTAATTTATTCATCCCAGGGTTTATGAGATGAAAAGCAATAGATACTTTTTAACTTATCCATTTATCTAGTAGCCTGTTTATATAAAAAGAAGTCTTGAATTTCAGTTTAAGATAAGCAACTAACAATAGTTGATTGGTGGGGTTACACTTCTCTACAGAAGCTGAAGCATTCTAGGCAACTCAGGTGCTGATAAACTCCTGGTATTACTTGGAGAGTAGTCCCAGGCCACCTCCTACAGCAGGGCGAACAGCCGTGTAGACTGTGGTGTTCTCCAGCCCAGCCTCGTTCCCTTGGATTGCGCCTTTGGGCTTGGATTGGGGACCTGGGATTACATCTGTCGACAGCACCCCATGTCTCCTGGGTATGGGACCACACATGTCTGAATCGATAGAGTTCAAGTCAGAGGGAACCTGTTTGGACACCAACAGATTCAGGACACTTATTGACACTTCTCCATGTTAGATACTTTTAGTCACCAAAATTTAGTTACGAGAACTACAAAAGCTGTCTTACTTTCGTTAGGTTTGAAGTAGAATAACGTTACTGGAAATTGTAAGAAATGCTTGGACTTACTGCAGGAAGAATTATTTGTTTTTATTATTATTTTTTTTGAGACAGATTCTTGCTCTGTCACCCAGGCTGGAGTGCAGTGGTGTGATGTTGGCTCACTGCAACCTCTGCCTCCCAGGTTCAAGCAATTCTCATGCCTCAGCCTCCGGAGTAGCTAGGACTACAGGCGTGGGCCACCACACCTGGCTAATTTTTTTGTACTTTAGTAAAGATGGGGTTTCACCATGTTGCCCAGGCTGGTCTCAGACTCCTGAGCTCAGACAATCTGCTCATCTCAGCCTCCTAAAGTGCTAGGATTACAGTTGTGAGCCTCCACGCCTGGCCCAAGAATTGATTTTTCTTTGCTGTGATTATTTATAGACCAGTGAAGCAGCATTACAGTGTGAGGAACAGCGTCAGCCCTCCCCCGACGGTGTCGGAGCTCTGCACCCTCTTGGTCTTCCTGCTGGATGTCATTCCCTTGGTGAGTGCTGGGGAAGAGACGGCTCAACACCCGCTATTGTTTACATTCTTACTGGTGGTGATGGCCTGCTTTATCAACCTCACATTACTGAAAATGTTTTACATAAATAGGCAACACTGTTTTGATGTTTGTTTTGGCATAAAAGATACAGCTAGATGTAATCTCTTATATTTTTAATGTCTTATTTAAAAGGGGCTATGACTTTTGGGCCAGTTGTAAGTGGGCAAAGCTGAAGTTAGGTCAACCAGCTGATGAACTGGGTATCATTCCCGTACCGCAGTTATTTTAGGGAAAGAGTCAATATGTTTCCTGGTTAAAAGTGTGCTGTTGGCTAATTTTCTCAAAGGAAAGTAATTTCCTTAATATAGAAATGTGCCAATTTTATTTTCTATTAGAAAGTGTAAAGCCACTTGCGAGGAGAGGAATAACATCCTTGATTTATCTAGATCAAGTTGAAATACCGAGCCTAGCTCTGTGGTATGCGCTTGTAATTCACAGCTACTCAGGAGGCTGAGACAGGAGGATTGCTTGAGCCCAGGAGTTTGAGACCAGCCTGGACAGCATAACATGATCCAGTCTCAAACAAAAACAATGGAAATGTTCTTTTCTCTCTCTCTTTGTGTGTGTGTGTGTGTGTGTGTGTGTGTGTGTGTGTGTGAGAGTGAGTTTTGCTCTTGTTGCCCAGGCTGGAGTGCAATGGCATGATCTCAGCTCACTGCAACCTCCACCTCCCGGTTTCAAGTGAGTCTCCTGCCTCAGCCTCCCAGGTAGCTGGATTACAGGCACCCGCCACCACGCCCAGCTAATTTTTTGTATTTTTAGTAGAGACAGGGTTTCACCATATTGGCTGAGCTAGTCTCGAACTCCTGACCTCAGGTGATCCACCCGCCTCGGCCTCCCAAAGTGCTGGGATTACAGATGTGAGCCACCATGCCCAGCCTCTTCTCTTTTTGAGATAGAGCCTCACTGTCACCCAGGCTGGAGTGCAGTGGCATGATCTCAGCTCACTGTAGCCTCATCCTCCCAGGCTCAAGCAGTCCTCCCACCTCAGCCTCCCAAGTGTCTGAGACCACAGACATGTGCCGCCACATCTGGCTTATTTTAGTATTTTTTGTAGAGATGGGGTCTCACTGTATTGCCCAGGCTAGTCTCGAACTCCTGAGCTCAAGCAATCTCCCTGCGTCAGCCTCCCAAGGTGCTGGCTGGGATTATAGGCATGAGCTACTGCGCCTAGTCTTCTTTTGTTTTCTGATTTGAAAATTAATGTGAAATTTATGCCCTAAAAAATTGAATTAGATGCCATTTTGAGATGTGTTGTTTTTCTGATTGTAAACCAGCAATGTGGGGTTAACCCATGTGTTTATTTCACAGGAACTGTACTCTGAGGTGCAAACCCAGTATCTCCCTCAGGTGCTCGGCTGCCTGGTGCAGCCTCTTGCTGAGGACATGGAGGCCTTAAGTTTACCTGAACTCACGCATGCCTTGAAGACGTGTTTCAAGGTGCTCAGCAAAGTCCAGATGCCGCCTTCCTACCTCGACACAGAGTCCACCAGCGGAACCTCGGTGTGTGCTCTGAGGGGCGGAAATGGTTCTGGGGGCTAAAAGCAGCTTATGCCTTCATGGGAGTAGAAAGTCTTTAGGGTTGGTTAGGATAGGAATAAACACTAGAAGATACCCAGGTGATATGTCAAATATGCTTGTAAAACTCTCACTTGAAAAAGTTTTAGCACCTGGCATGGTGCCATCACTCACACCTGTAATACTAACACTTCCGGAGGCTGGGGCAGGAGGATTGCTTGAGCCCAGGAATTCGAGACTGGCCTGGGCAACACAGCAAGACCTCATCTGTCTACAAAATAAAAATTAGGCCAAGTACAGTGACCCACACCTGTAATCCCAGCACTTTGGGAAGCTGAGGCGGGTGGATCTCCTGAAGTCAGGAATTCAAGACCAGCCTGACCAACATGGCAAAACCCCATCTCTACTAAAAATACAACAATTAGCCAGGCATGATGGCATGTGCCTATAGTCCCAGTTACTCCAGAGGCTGAGGTAGGAGAATTGCTTGAACCCGGGAGGCGGAGGTTGCAGTGAGCCATCATGCCACTGCACTTCAGCCTGGGCGACAGAGCGAGACTCCGTCTCAAAAAAAATAAAAAATAAATAAATAAAAATTAGTCATGGTGGTGTTCACCTGTAGTTCCATCTACTCAGGAGGTTGAGGTGGGAGCATCGCTTGAGCCCAAGAGGTTGAGGCTGCAGTGAGCCATGATTGCACGGCTACACTCCAACCTGAGTAAGAGCAAGACCCTGTCTCTACAAAAAAAAAATTTAAGTTTTAGCACCCTTTGTTTCACCCACTCTCATGCTACTTGCCTGCTCTGTAACTGCAGTTAATGGTTAGATATAGTTAATAACTATGTAGCTACAGTTGATGGGCTAGTTATAACTAGCCTTGCAGACTGTTTCATGTGTGTGTTTGTAGTGTGTGATTTTGGTTATTTCAAATATAAGCGAGATGAGGTACTGGATTAGTTTGCTGGGGCTGCCATAATAAAGTACCACAGACCGAGTGGCTTCAACAACAGGTGTTTGTTTTCTCATGGTTCCGAAGGCCAGGGTCTGACGGGAAGGTGTCAGCAAGGTTGGCACCTCCTGAGCGCACTGGGAAGAAAGAGTCTGTCTCGTGCGTCCCCCGAGCTTCTAGTGGTTTGCTGGCAATATTCAGCATTCCTCGGCTTGTCGAAGCGTCACCCCAGTCTCTACCTTTATGTTCACTTGGCCGTCAACCTGTGTGCATATCTGTCTCTATGCCCAGATCTCTCAAGGACACCAATCCTACTGGATTTGGGCCCATCCTAATGATCTCATCTTTTTTTTTTTTTTTTGAGACGGAGTCTGGCTCTGTCGCCCAGGCTGGAGTGCAGTGGCCGGATCTCAGCTCACTGCAAGCTCCGCCTCCCGGGTTCACGCCATTCTCCTACCTCAGTCTCCCGAGTAGCTGGGACTACAGGCACCCGCCACCTTGCCCGGCTAGTTTTTTTGTATTTTTTAGTAGAGACGGGGTTTCACCGTGTTAGCCACGATGGTCTCGATCTCGTGACCTCGTGATCCGCCCGTCTCGGCCTCCCAAAGTGCTGAGATTACAGGTTTGAGCCACCGCGCCCGGCCCTAATGATCTCATCTTAATTGGATCATCTGCAAAGACTCTGTTTTCAAATTAAGGTACATTCACCGGTACTGGGAGTTAGGACTTCAACATTGTTTTGAAGATAACATAACATACACTATTCTCTAACTTGCTTTCCTTTTTTTTTTTTTTTTTTGAGGCAGAGTCTCTCTCTGTCACCCAGACTGGCGTGCAGTGGTGTGATTTTGGCTCACTGCAACCTCCACCTCATGGGTTCAAGCAATTCTGCCTCAGCCTCCTGAGTAGCTGGGATTACAGGCACCCACCACCATGCCTGGCTAATGTTTTGTATTTTTAGTATTGACGGTGTTTTACCATGTTGGCCAGGCTGGTCTCAAACTCCTGACCTCAAATGATCCACCTGCCTCGGCCTCCCAAAGTGTTGGGATTACAGGCATGAGCCACCACTCCTGACCTTATTTTATTTCTTCATACCTTTACTTTACCCTCAGCTCAGTTTCCTCATTCATAGTTGTTAATTTGTCGGAAACCGTTCTTGCTCTGTTGTCCAGAGAACTGTGGCAGGTGATCCACCCACCTCGGCCTCTCAGTGCTGGGATTACAGGCTTGAGCCACCACGCCCTGGCAGAAACAACTTTTCAACAACTTTTTTGAACTCTGAAGGGTTTGTATATTTAGGCAAAAACACAAGAAAAATAGGCCCAAAAGCCAGCCTCCCCAGAGAGCATGTGGGTCCACCAGTCTCCTCTTTGCCACCCACTCCTCTCCTTCCCCTGCTTTGGATGCCTCCTAAATTTCATTATACGCTTGACACAGAGATTCTCTAGTCTAGAGAGTGATGATTTTGAAAAACAGAATTGAAATATATTCATGATTTCAACTGATGCTTGAATACCTTAGTGTTAAGAGATGCACAATTCATGTCTTTTTATTTTTTACAGAGTCCAGTAAAAGGTGAAAACAACAAAATAATTTTGGAAACAAAGGCAGTGATTCCCGGTGAGGAAGATGCTTCGTTTCCCCCTCTGAAGTCTGAGGACAGTGGGATCGGGCTCAGTGCCTCGTCACCGGAGCTCTCTGAGCACTTGAGGGTTCCTCGCGTTTCTCTGGAAAGGGACGACGTTTGGAAGAAGGGCGGGAGCATGCAGAGGACGTTTCTTTGCATCCAAGAGCTAATTGCCAACTTTGCCAGCAAGAACATTTTTGGAGTACAGCTGACAGCGTCAGGAGAAGAAAGCAAGTCCGAGGAACCTGCAGGGAAGAGAGACCGGGGTGGGACGCAGAGCCTGGCGACTGAGGATTGCAGCAGGAAGAACTCGTGGGAGCCCAAGCCCATCACGGTGCCTCAGTTCAAGCAGATGCTTTCGGACTTGTTCATGGCGCGAGGGTCTCCGTTCAAGACAAAAAATTCGGAGTCACCGTCGTCTTCGCCCAGCAGCCCCGCCAGAAAAAGCGGGAGAGAATGGGATGTTGAACAGGTGGTCATTGACCTGAGGGGTTCCAGGGAGGAATGCAGGGAGGCCTTTGCCGCCGCCTGCCACCTGCTGCTGGACTGTGCCACCTTCCCTGTCTACCTGTCCGAGGAAGAGACCGAGCAGCTCTGTGCAACGCTCTTCCAGCTGCCAGGTGAGAGGCGGCCGTGCCGAAGTCCCTCTTCAGGAATCATACAATGAGGCGATTGATGTGGGTGGAATATCCCCTGTCCGCAATGCTGGGTACCAAAACTATTTTGGATTTTGGACTTTTTTCAGATTTTTTTGAATATTTGCCTTACACTTACCGGTTCAGCATTCCTAATCCAGAAATCCAAAATCCAAGATGCTCCAGTGAGTACTTCCTTCAAGCATCATGTCAGTGCTAATAAGGTTTCAGATTTTGGATTTGGGATTTCAGATTAGAGATTGTCAACCTGTATTTAAAGACTAGCTCAAATCGTGTCAGCCAAGAAGGCGCTATTGGCCTCGTTTGTTCCCTTCCTCATTTGTACTTAGGACATTTTTGACTTGTGTCTCACTACATGGCAAAGTGGTAAGGGGGGGGGGCCTATATTTTTAAGGCTTGGGTGTCCAGCACAGCCCATCAGAAGACCTAAAACATGAGTGGCATTCAGTGGGAGTAAATAGACTCTTTCATGATACCTGTTGATAAAGATTTTTTTTTTGTTTTTTGAGATAGGGTCTGGCTCTGTTGCCCAGGCTGGAGTGTGATGGCACCAACTCAGCTCACTGCAACCTCCGCCTCCTGGGTTCAAGTTATTCTCCTGCCTCAGCTTCCCCAGTAGCTGGGACGACAGGCACGTGCCACTATGCCCAGCTAATTTTTTTTTTTTTTTTTAAGACAGCGTCTCGCTCTGTCGCCAGGCTGGAGTGCAGTGGCACAATCTTGGCTCACTGCAGCCTCCACCTCCCGGGTTCAAGTGATTCTCCTACCTCAACCTTATGAGTAGCTGGGATTACAGGCACGTGCCACCATGCCCAGCTAATTTTTTTATTTTTAGTAGAGCCAGAGTTTCACCATGTTGGCCAGGATGGTCTCAATCTCTTGACCTCGTGATCCACCCGCCTAGGCCTTCCAAAGTGCTGGGATTATAGGCGTGAGCCACTACGCCTGTTAATTTTCATATTTTTAGTAGAAATGGGGTTTCACCATGTTGGCCAGGCTGGTCTCAAACTCCTGGCCTCCTATGATCTGCCCGTCTTGGCCTCCCAAAGTGCTGGGATTACAGGCGTGAGCCACCAGGCCTGGCCAGTATTTGTATATTGGTTTGCTAGGGCTCCCTAACAAAGTACAGTAAACTGAGAAATTTGTCTCATAGTTCTGGAAGCCAGAAGTCCAAGATCAAGGTGTCAGCCGAGCCACGCTCCTCTGAGACTCCAGGTGGAATATTTTTTGGCCTCTTCAGCTTCTGGTGCTGGCCGGCAACCCTTGGGGGACTCCTCAGCTTGCAGCTGCATCAGTCCCGTCTCTGCCTTTGTCTTCACAAGGTGTCCTCTGTATGTCCTGTCTTCCCTTGACTTGTCCCTCTTATAAGGACACCAGTCGTATTGGATTAATCAGGCCCACCCTAACGACCTCATCTTAATTTGATTACCTCTGTAAAGACCTTATTTTCAAATGAATCTCACCAGCAGGAAGTTAGTGCACTGCTGTCCAGATGGATTTCTCAGGTAACTTCCCAGATCTAGGGAGCTGTAGAATCTGCAGACTGGGGACCCATTCTCACGTGGTTCTGCTTGTTTCTGCCTCTCCGGTGGTCTTCCTTTCAGGAGCCGGTGATTCCAGTTTTCCATCTTGGCTGAAATCCCTTATGACCATTTGCTGCTGTGTGACTGACTGCTACCTCCAGAACGTGGCCATTTCCACTCTGCTGGAAGTGATAAACCATTCCCAGTCCCTGGCTCTTGTCATTGAAGACAAGATGAAACGCTACAAGAGCTCTGGACACAACCCTTTTTTTGGCAAGCTGCAGATGGTGACGGTTCCTCCCATTGCTCCAGGGATTTTAAAAGTCATTGCAGAGAAAACAGATTTCTATCAGGTATTTCTCACTGGGAACACTCTTCTTATGGCCTCCTTCTCCCCCTGAGCAAAACTCAGAACTGTATAGCTGGGGATGGGAGCAGTGGCCCACTTCTCTGGGAGTGATATTCCTATAGGGCACTGGGCAGAGGTAGTAGCCTTTGGTCTTCTGAGACTGCCTCTCCCAGCATGTAACTTTCACCCTCCAGGCAAGCTATGGTGAGAGCAACTGGGGCCCCAGTATTCTGGGCCTGCCGTGACTGAGTGGAACCCCTGCCTGGGAGTGGGGTCTGGGTGGAGGCAGGGAGCCCATGATTCCTCCACTGCACTTGCCTGGATTTAGTCTCTGCCACATCAAACTCCCTACAGGGCGCATCACCTGCATAGGGTGAGGCTCGGTACCTGCCTGTTGAAAGAATGCCTCAACCCCTCTGGTCCAGTTTCCCGTTAATTCCCTTTCTGAAAGTAATGTTGAGGTCTAGGCAAGAGCTGCAGTGTTCTTGGCCAGAAACCTGCAGGTCTGACCTCCTCTGCCGCCCAGATGACTTTGGTGGGTCTTCTCTTTTCTTTTTTCTTTTTTCTTTTCTTTTCTTTTCTTTTTTGAGACAGAGTCTTACTCTGTCGCCCAGGCTGGAGTGCAGTTGCGTGATCTCAGCATTTCAGCTCACTGCAACCTCCGCCTCCTGGATTCAAGCGATTCTCCTGCCTTACCCTCCCAAGTAGCTGGGATTACAGGGGCCCACCACCACATCTGGCTAGTTTTTGTATTTTTAGTAGAGATGGAGTTTTGCCATGTTGACCAGGCTGGGATCCTCCTGACTTCAGGTGATCCACCCGCCTCGGATCCCAAAATGCTGGGATTACAGGCATGAGCCACCGCGCCCGGCCTTTGGTGGGTTTCTTGCTTTATTTGATGATGATGTGTCTCTGGACATGGAGGATTCTCACGTGGCAAATATAGGTGAGAGCCAGTATGTCGGGGCTGGGACTGACTGAGGAGGATGTGAGCGGATGCTGCCTGTGTTGACATGGTCCCCCACCACCTGCCTTTTCCTTGTCCCAGAGGGTGGCTCGTGTGCTTTGGAATCAGCTGAACAAAGAGACCCGGGAGCATCACGTCACCTGTGTAGAATTGTTCTACCGGCTGCACTGCCTGGCCCCGACGGCCAACATCTGCGAGGACATCATTTGCCACGCCCTCCTGGACCCTGACAAGGTGAGCCTTTCTGGCCGCCACCTCCATCCTGCAGCACCCAGGCCCTTGTTGTACATGCGCTTGGCCGACTGACATCCATCCAGTCGAAGTCTTTCTGGAGCTGAGTGGACATCGTGATTAATAAAATAAGCAGAGGTGTTCCAGGATTTCAATCCTGGAAGGCCACTGGAAGCTTGAGCCATTCTTTTTACAGCCCTGAAAATGTGGTTTGTGACCATATTAAGCCTCACCAAGGAAACCTGCCCAAACCTGCTGTAAGGACTTGCAGGGCTTCTGCAGGTGTTGGCAGAATAGGCAGTTGTAGGGAATTGATTGTCCCTGGAAGAACTTATTGAAGCAGGACGTGGTGGCTCACTATGGTGGCTCACTCCTGTAATCCCAGCATTTTGGGAGGCTGAGGTGGGAGAAATTGAGGTCAGGAGTTCAAGACCTGCCTGAGCAACCACAAATAAATAAGGCCACTACTAAAAATACAAAATTAGCCGGGCGTGGTGGCACATGCCTGTAATCCCAGCTATTCGGGAGGCTGAGGCAGGAGAATCACTTGAATCTGGGAGGCAGAGGTTGCAGTGAGCCGAGTTCGCGCCACTGCACTCCAACCTGGGCAACAGAGTGAGATCCATCTCTACCAAAAATAAATAAATAAATAAGGCCAGGCGTGGTGACTCACGCCTGTAATTCCAGCACTTTGGGAGGCCGAGGCAGGCAGATCCCCTGAGGTCAGGAGTTCAAGACCAGCCTGGGCAACATGGTGAAACCCTGTCTCTACTAAAAATACAAAATTAGCTGGGCGTGGTGACGGGCACCTGTCATCCCAGCTACTCGGGAGGCTGAGGCAGGAGAATCACTTGAATCTGGGAGGCAGAGGTTGCAGTGAGCGGAAATCGCTCCACTGTACTCTGGCTTGGGTGACAGAGCGAGACTCCATCTCAAAAAATAAAAAATAACAATAAAACTCATAATAAACCAATGTTTTAAAAAATTATATTTCATTGAGAATTTATTGTCCTGGATCTCCTTTGCAGTCTGTTGCGTGTCCTCGTTCTTTAAGACACTTGGGGCTGACACTTGCAAGGAAGCCACGCTCCTTTGTGTTCTCCTTTGGCTGCAGGCGACAGGGGTGACCCTGGACTCCAATACTGAGCTCCGAATGTGCTGCTCTGTTAAAGTGAACACTCAGAGAGAGAGGATGCAGGTTCTCCTTTTCCTTGTGGCCGAATCAGTCAAAGGAGAAGGCAGCATCTTTGCTGTGGTTGCTGTCAGTTCTGCTGAAGTCTTTGATCTGTTGTTTAAATGGGGTTTATGGTGACTGAAGACAGCGGTCAGTTATGAAACCAAGTTCCTCACTCCCATTTATTTCCTCATCAAGGGAACAAGGCTGGAAGCTCTGTTTAGATTTTCCGTGATCTGGCATCTGACAAGAGAGATCCAAGGCAGTCGAGTAACATCTCACAATCGCTCCTTTGACAGGTAAGGCGGTCTTCGTTATGAGCTACCGTTAACTCTCAAGGAAACTCCACAGAGGTTCCTGCCCAACATGTGGGGCTGGGGAGGGAGAGGTGCATGCAGTTGAAAACATGACCCCTATGGCCGGGCGCAGTGGCTCATGCCTGTAATTCCAGTACTTTGGGAGGCCAAGGCAGGTGGATCACTTGAGGCCAGGAGTTCAAGACCAGCCTGGCCAACATGGTGAAACCCCATCTCTACTAAAAATACAAAAATTAGCCAGGCATGGGGGTGGGCACCTGTAATCCCAGCTACTTGGGAGGCTGAGGCAGGAGAATCACTCAAACCCGGGAGGCGGAAGTTGCAGTGAACCAAGACTGCGCCACTCCACTCCGCCTGGGTGACAAGAGCGAAACTCCATCTCAAAAAAAGAACGCCTGACCCCTGCTCATGACCCCCCGAGCACAGCCAGTGGTTCCCATAAACAAGTGAATTTAGGCCAGACACATGTGAACACGTTAGGAGTTTTCTTAATTTGTTTGGGATGTGAGGAATCCTGGCATACCCCGGAATCACCTGTGCAGCTTTTACAACATGCCCCTACAAGGGGACTTTGCAGGGAGGTCAGATGGCCTAAACCTGCCTGGGGGGAGTGAGCACAATTGGTGTGTGTGCTTGTCCCATCACTGACTCATGCTTAAGAGGGGAACTTGATTGCAGCCCATTCTACTCCACATTGTTTTTCCCGAGTACCTCTGAAACTCTAGGCATGAGGCTAGGCACTCAGCCTTAGAGACGCCAGCTGATTCTGATGCCTGGCGCCCAGGCCCAGACTCAGATATATAACCCATTTGGGGTGAGGACTGAGCATTGGGATTTTAAATGCTCCCACTGGTGATTCCAACGTGAAACCCAAGTGGAGTCCCCCTTATCCTCATCCACTTGGGTCTGGAAGTCCAGCTTGGGTGGAGCTCCTGGGGGCCCTGTGTTGGCACCCTGCCCTATGCCCAGTGTCCGCCATGGTGCGTGGCGCACAGGGGTGGCTGCGAGCAGACTCACCAGTGTGTTTCCCACCACAGGTCCTTGTTTGTCGTGCTGGACAGCCTGGCCTGCACGGATGGCGCCATCAGCGCAGCAGCCCAGGGCTGGCTGGTGCGTGCGCTCTCCCTTGGGGATGTGGCTCGCATCCTCGAACCCGTGCTCCTGCTCCTGCTGCAGCCAAAAACCCAGAGAACCTCCATCCACTGCCTCAAGCAGGAGAACTCGGCCGGTGAGCAGCCTGCATGGGACCCGAGGGGGAGGGAGGAACGGGTCAGGGGACTGGACCTCAGTAGTGATCGTTGAGGGACTGAGGCCCACTAGGTAGTTTTATTAGATGCAAATGGTGCTTTGTAAATTGTGAGGACTTCGACGATTTAAGGACCCAGTGATCTAGCATTTAGAGCTATTAGTGAGTGGGTTTGCTGTTTTCACTGAAAAACCAGATTATTTTGTTATTAAGGAAATTTGGCCGGGCATAGTGGCTCACAACTGTAACCCCAGCACTGTGGGAGGCTGAGGCAGGTGGATCACTGGAGTTCAGGAGTTCAAGACCAGGCTGGCCAACATGGTGAAACCCTGTCTCTACTAAAAATACAAAAATCAGCTGGGCGTGGTGGCGCATGCCTGTAATCCCAGCTACTTGGGAGGCTGAGGCAGGAGAATCTTCTGAACCCGGGAGGTAGAGATTGCAGTGAGCTGAGATGACACCACTGCACTCCAGCCTGGGTGGCAGAGAGAGACAAGAGAGAGACTCTGTCATTCATAAATAAATAAATAAATAAAATAACTTTTATTTGTGAACCTTCAACTACAAGGTAAGTGGTTTATTTTCTCTCTGTGCTCTAAGATTCTTTTTAGACTATAAAATCCTGTTAATCAGATTATCAGAAATGAAGAAGAAATAAACCTTTCAGTTCAGAGAACTTCCAGAGGCATCTTTAACACAAATGTAAAAGAATATAGGTAGAGCCGGGCGCGGTGGCTCAAGCCTGTAATC